CTTGGGGGGGCCTTGGATATTTTTGGGATTAAAAAGCAAAGAAGACTACAGGGTAACAGTGGCAGGATGAAACTAAGTATGAAGGGGAAGGGAATCTTTGGGGAAGAAACAGAAGAGAGGTAAAAAACATATGCAGGATGAAGCGGGAAATCAGTTGAGGAAAATGGAGAAATGCTGGGAAAGATGAAAAAACTAATCAACAGTGAGCAGAAATAAATGAAAAGGAAAGAGAAGGAAAAACCAAATATATGCAGCTTTAGGGCTAAGAACAATGCATGTTAATTGCCATTTGCATGTTGCCTCTCAAACTGTGATAATTATATTGGTGCTTATTTGCTTTTGGTGTATATGTACACACATTTCTCTGCAAAGTACAAATTTCTTATTCCAAGGGACCATTACTCTAAGACTTGATTTGACCACTGTACCAATAGCACTTCAAATATTCATTGACAGCAAAATACTATAAAAATCAACTCTCACTTTAATTATTGTGTCCCCCAAGTTCAAACTAGATATTTTTCACAAAAAATAAAAAAAATAAAAAAATCTAACTTCATGGAATTACCACAGCTTTAAGAAAATATCTAATTTTATAAAATTTCTAATATTTTAAATTATTTTAAGAAAATTTCTAATTTTATAAAATTTCTAATATTTTAAATTATACAGTTAAAAGGCTACAAAAATTTATATACATCAATTTTCTATTTCATTCAGGTTTGTTATTGTTAATTCTAACTTGCTCTTTCTAATGTACCAGTACAACAATTCAAGATTTTCACTGCAAACACTACAAAACACTTGTAGGTGGCACTTTAAAACTTAATGGAAACATTTCTGCTCATCACAGTTTTAACAAGCCTTAAATGTTGAGTTTAAACTGACTTAAACGTATATAAGGGATTTTTTGTTAAAATGCTACATCCCCCTAAACTGTCCCCTTAAAAATACGATATAAAGGAATTTAAATAGATCTAGAATTAATTTTAAATAGCAGTACAAACTGGAATATTTTGTAGTTGCTGAAGATAATAGTTTGTCAGTTACATTAGCATGAGTTTGTTGGACAAGAATTTTAGAGCATTCCTTATTCAGACAGTAGGAGTACTGGTGCACATAGTGGCTGAAGCAGAAAATTGCATGGGAAAGTAATGGAGGTGGGAATTTAGTGAGTTCTTCAGAAGAAAAGATGAAAGTATTGAGACTAGTGGAGCTAGACTCAGTGTTCCCTCTGAACTGTGGGGCAGCACAGTTTCACAGGTGATTAATCAGCCTGCCCAGTCAGATATTCCCTCTAAACTTCAGTGCAGCACAGCTTCACAAGTGATTAATCAGCCCCACCCATTCAGTCTGCTCCATGCAGGGAGTTCTGAGCCTACTGGAGCTGGTGATGTATATGAACAAACAAATGAAGAAATTATCCTGTTCAGAACTAGTAGTGAATTGGTATGATTAGGAGTAATGAAGAATCAATATTGTAGAATGTGCTACATTAGAGGAATGGTACATTGTTCTTTAGTTTAAACTTTTTTTGGTATGATTGTTAATCAGCAGTTAAGTTTCTTTTTTCTTTTAGCTGTATTTTTCTGGTACTCCTCTTTACTCAGTTTAAGATTTGAGATTTTTTAAAAATAAAAATGAATGTATTAGCCAAGAATCTGCTACCCAATTTACTGTTCTTCATTATGAATTTTGCAACTTATTATTTTTAGCCTTCAATTAAGATCCCAGAAGTAAATCCAAATTTCTTATTTGATGTTTTGAGAAGTAAACCCTTGTGTTTGGAAGGTGGTCTGGAGATACATCTGACAAGGTTCTTAACCTGATTGATATAGCAGATTAGTTACCTGGAAAGAAGTAGGCCTGGAGTTGGTTTCGATTACTTTTAACTTTATTTGAGGAATATGCTGAAGTTGAGACAGCTCAGTATTGTTTAGGTACTCTAATTCAGGAAAATAGCTTGTGCTTCAGTGCTGTCCCGAATTGAGGGTCTCAATTTTTGTTTTTCCTGCGGTCCTACTCTCAGAAGAGATCTCAAACAAAAACACTTAAGTCAGTGTAGAGCTGAAAAAGAATAGCACTATTATCCATCCCTCTTTTCACCATTTTGTAGAATGTTGTGTTTTCAGTTAAGTTGTAGACTTACCTTTTAGGACAGCATGTAAAACTCATCTGTTTAAGGAATGAGGAAAAAGAGGGATTACAGGTGAAGGAAGGTGTTGGATTAGTTTGATATGGTTCTTTTAACTTTGCTATGTGTACTGAGAATTTGTCAAAGTTAATTTTTTATGGGCAAAATTAAAGGTTCTTTGACTTTGTCTCTGGTTGGTATTAGTGGCAATATATTATTGACATACTTTGTTTAAGGCAACATCCTGGAATGTGCAGTCTGTGGTGACTAATGCTTACTGAATGTTTGTGCTTTTTACTCACACTAAAAAGAACTTTTTACTGCACCAGGAATTTTGCTATGTATCACATTCCGAAGGTAGAAGGGTGTGTATTATATTTAGCAAAACAATTGTGTACATTGTTCCTTGCACAAATACTTTTTCTTTTGTATGACGTATGTGTAATATCCGAAGCAAATTAGTTATCTTTCATTTCAGTGGGGTATGTTACACGTAACTGTAGCAAGAAATTCTCTGTAATGCACTGTCTGCTAAAGTCTATGCTTATACTTCTGTTTTAGCTTGTTATCTTGCATAGGCTTTAATTTACCAGCCACTGACACATCTAATACACTGCTTAGGAGGACTTTTAATCCTACAAGTTACACACTAAATTTGCACCTTAGCTTGTAGACAAGGTTTGGGAGCATAGTCACTTCAATAAACATATCACTTTTTATTTGCCAATTTATTTGAAAAAAGATCTTCACCCCATCTGTGGCTTCTGATCAAGTTATATGAGCGAGAAATATGAAAGAAAAAATGCTGAGCCTAATTTCTGAGATGAGTTAGATTCCTTGTCATGCTAAGCAAGCTGATTGTTTCGTGGTGAGTTTCATGATTTTACCATTTGCCATGTCCAAGTGAAAACCTTGAACAGGTGGGTGATTAAGAAGATGTTTTAATCATTCCACAGTGTGCATGTATATGCATATACAATATCTTGTGTTGTGACTTTTGTTAGAATACTTGCAGGTTTATATTATAAATAGGGATTTCCATACATGGAGCTGTTGTCGTTAATTGAACACATGTGGTGGTATCCTAAACACAGACATAGGATACTCCCAGAATAGCACAACTGTTCCGCCCTTTTGGGCTTATCTAAGGTTCCCTCAAAAACAGATTAATTTAAATTTCCCCTAAAAGGTTTTCCTTTAAAACAGTTCACCTGCTCACCTGTCTGTTCTCCTACTGTATGGAGGGTAGCTAAGGAAATTCCTAGGGGACATGGATACAGCCTTTTGATAAATGATCGATTGACACTAGCAACATTCTTTTCCAAAACAAAGCACTTGTTCATTTGTGCAATGAATTGATACACAATCCATAATACAATATGAATCTAAAATCACAAATCCCTTCATTGACTAAAGAGCACCCCAACCACAATAAAAGACAATTGAAATTATTCTGAGTGGTTGAATCCTGTTAATTGATGGCTAGCCTGTTGGAGGCTGCTGTTGCAGTCTTTAATGCTTTATATGAGTGGTCCACAACGTGGTGCCTGCGGGTGCCATGGCACCCGCCGAGCCATTTCTGTGCACCCGCCAAGTGATTGGGGCCACCCAGGTGCATGGCGCATGGGTGGAGCCAGCCTGTGTGCATTGTCAGTGCCGGCCCTGGGCGCGCGGCGGTTAGGCGGCGCCGGCCCCGGGCGTGGGGCAGGAGGGCAGAGCTGGCTCATGGATGTGTGGCACAGGCACTGTCTCTGGGCACGCGGCGCAGGGGTGGTCCCGCCACCGGGCGCTGTTGGCTCCTGGGCGTGTGGCACAGGTGCCAGCTCTAGGCACACAGTGCATGGGTGGTGGTAGCTCCGCCCCCAGGCACGTGGGACATGGGCTCTTCCGGCCCTGGGTGTGCGGCGTATGGGCGGCCCCACCCCTGGGCGTGCAGCACTGTTGTGGCGCCAGCCCTGGGAGTGTGTTGCATGGGTGGCACAAGCTCCAGGCACGCAGCATATGGTTGGCCCCGCCCCTGGGTGCCCATTCTAACATAACTGACAAGTATACTATAATTATACCGTAATTATAACTGACAAGTTTACTATGTCTGATGACTCCTTCTGGTGCTGCTGCTTGCTGGCTTCAGCTGCTGCTTTCTCACTCTTATTCTTCTTTTCCATCTTATTCTTCGGGTCTTCTCTCATCTGCTCTTCTCTAGTCCATTCTCCTCAGCATGATCCACCTTGTCAGCACCTCGGATACAGCTTTCTGGGTTGCTCACTGACTCGCTGCCCTCATGCTGCCCTATGAGAGCTTTTTAGACACTTCTGATAACATTTTTTCTTTTACTATGCATTCCATCTTCATTCATTCTTTTTCTTTTGCTATCACACATTCATTCTCCTGCTCACTGCTGTTGTTCACCTAAAGTGTTATGATCTGCAAGATCCCAGCTATTTTGATTTTCTTTCCAATTTTATACTCAGCACTGTGTGACTTGCAGCTTCTATCTAATGGTGGAGTGATTCTTCCTTATTTAAACTGGAAGCCAGAGATGCAAAAATGGAGTCTTGAGTTTCAAAATTGCGTTTCTCTGGTATTAGTGAAGAATTTAGGGGTTCTAAAAATGCACATATGACTTGACTTTTAGCAGAGATGGTAATCTTTAATAGGTGTTAACAAATAAAGCACTTCACAATTTTTCTTCATAATAGCATAGATGGCTTTGCACTAGTGAATAATGACTGATAAATAACGAAGCCTTTGGAACTACTGCTGTTTGACATGAGAATCACCAAGAACTGTATCTGATATATGTGATGAATATAAACGAATATTATTTGAGGCTAAAATTCACTTTTGCTTATGCTTTTGTCTCTAGCTCACCTAAAACTTTACAAGGAGAGACCATCAGGTGGGTAGAGAGTGTATTCTGTTGTCTCTGTGTCTAGTCTTTGGTTTCTCTCGTTTCCTTAAAGGCAAAGTGGTTACCTAATTTATGATCTTTAATAATGGAGAGATTTATGAAGAACATGTATTCAGGACTAATCATGCTTTTGAGCTGACTATTACCAGGACACTTGTAGTGCTGCAGCACTGACAGGAAAACATTTCCAGAATTCCAATCTGAAGGTTATGGTGATCATTAAACTAGTTCAGTTTCATCTAGGATGGCGTGGGCAAAAGGGCCTCTGTGGGCCAGATATGGCCCGCCAAGTGGGTGGATCTGACCCATGGAGGCCCTGCTGCTCCCCAGGCCAATTAGGGCCTGGGGGTGGGGGAGAGCTCAAAGCCTTCTCCACTCTGCCCCCACCCTGTGAACAGTGCATGGCGCTTCAGGCCGGGGGCCGAGCAGAGAAGGCTTCATGCCTTCTTCCGCCCCCAGACCCTAATTGGCCTGGGAGTGGGGGAGCACACAAAGCCTCCTCCTGCCCTGCCAAGAGCACGTGGTGCTTTGAAGCGCTGCTCACAGGGCGGGGGGGGCGAAGGGTAGGAGGAAGAACGGAGGAGGCTTCGCATGCTCCCCCACCCCCAGGCCAATCAGGACCTGGGGGAGCTGCATGAAGCTTCCTTCCACTGAGCCTGCAGCACTTCAAAGTACCACATGCTCCTCGCAGGGTGGGAGGAGGCTTCCCATGCTTCTCCACCCCAGGCCCTGATTGGCCTGGGGGGGGGGAGCCCTAGTGGGAAGGGGGGGGCAAAGCGGCTCCCTCACCCCCAGACCAACCATGATCTGGGAGTGGGGTAGCCCCAGCCCCTTCCTGCTTACACCCCATCCCTTCCGGGGTGGCCTGGTGCTACTTCAGAAGTTTTTGCCTCCCCTGATCTAGGACAGTGGTCTCCAACCTTTTAAACCACAAGATCACTTTTTCAATTTAATTGCAATGTAGGATCTGCCTCAAACCCAAATACCCTTTCCCCACTTCCTTCCTGCCCCTTCTTTGAGGCTCCACGCCTTCTTCCAGGCCTTACTCTGCTCACTCCATCTCCCTTCCTCACTCATCCTTACTCTCTTTCACCAGGATAGGGTAGGGGTTGAGGGGCAGGCTCTGGTCTTACGCCAAGGGGCTCAGTGTATGGGAGGGGCTCAGGCTTAGCCCAGGGTGCAGGACTGGGGTCCAGGAGGGCTTTCAGGATGCAAGCTCTGGGAAGGGGTTTGAGTACAGGGGGACTTACGTCTGGGGCAGGAGGTTGGGTGCAGGAGACGGTCTAGGACAGGGACAGTGGTTCAGGAAATAGGCTCTGGCTGGGCACCATTTCACTGAGAGAGCTTCCAGGAGGTGGAGCAATGGGGTTAAGGCTGGCTTACTCCTGCCCTTGGCCCTGCACCACTCTTGAAAGCAGCTGGAATGTATAGCAATGGCTCCGTCACACCATGTGCTGCCTCTCATCTATAGGCAGTGAGCCCACAGCATCTACTAGCAATGGTTCCCCATTATTGATCAATGGGAGCTGCAGGAGTGGTGTCTGCAGGCAAGGGCAGCATGTGGTGACCTCCTGCTCTGCCTTTCTTAGGGGCTGCAAGGACATGCCAGCCACTTCCAGAAACAGCAATTACCATGGGGATAATGACTCTAGCCATGACAGGTTAGGCATTTTAGAACTCACTACTCAAATAATTAAATTTAAGCATAACAGAGAAATGAAAATTATGAAATGCACAGACCAGTAACACACGTTGCAAGCAGTAATGTAAGTAACAAAACCCTCCCATGTATGTATTGGGTCGGGAGGTGAGAGTGAAGGACTCTGTGTGTGAATGAGTGAGTGTGAGAGAGAGAGACACACACACACTGGATGAGAGTGAGAGAGATTTGCATTGCCAAGCTCCCTCCAACCCCTTCTCTCTGTATGGAGATAGGGTACAGGAGTGGGGGGAGGAGGGACACTGACATCAGAGCCCTGCCTCTTCTCCCTTCCACATCCTGCACAGAAAGCAGGAGGCTTCCAAGGGGCAGCTCCAAGGCAGAGGATGGGAACAGCATGACAGGGGGTGAAGGGGCAACTGTAGTACCAGCCCTTGATACTTTCCCATGGAAACCAGTCAGGACCACCTGTCAGAGGCTCCAAGATCTACTGGTAGATCCCGATCTACTGGTTGGTGACCACTGATCTAGGATGTCCCAGTTAAAAAGTGCCTCATTAAAACAGGCACTTGGAGTAATCTCTCTCATTTGAATGCCCACTTCAAAAGGTTATAAGTGACAAATACAGCAATACTAAAACTTTGAAGCTCACAGTTACAACAAAACAAAGAACTGTCACATTGTCCCTAATTCAGAACGAGAACTTATTTAACACTGGGAAGGAAATACTGGCAATACCTAATCCGTTTCAGAGTTGTATGGAAGTAATTAAATACTTGTCTATAATTCCTAGTAGAATTATTCTCGAACTTGTGGAGAAGTTTTGGGAAGTAAAAGCAGATTTTAATTGTACTGTAAGGAAATGAAAGGAACCACTTAACCTATTAATACTTGATTTTTTTCTACTATACTTATCATTTGAGCAATACTGCCATCAATTAATTTTGAGAAGCCTCCTGTACATTGAGTAAATTGCAGTACAAATCCAAGTAACAATGTAGTCTAGTGACTCAAATATACAAAATATTAGAGTTGCTCTTATTTGATGCAATGTTCTACAGTACTGAGTGATATGGAAATGGCACAAAACAAAAATATTTTAAAGAAAGGCAAAATTCTGTGGCAAAGAGTAATTTCTGTCTATAAATTTGGCATTTGAATAATTGCTGAAGGTTTCTGATTATAATTGTACAAAGCTATTGCTCTATAACTTAAATTGTACTGATAATTTCTCCTGTCTATATTTTTTTAACTTTGCTTCAGGAATTCTTAAATTCCTTTTGTACCTAACATCTAACTTCAAATTTTTTAGTCCAGAATATAAATGTGTCCCTTTTGGCCTTTTAAAACTAACCTACTTACCTATCTAAAAATTTAAATGATTTTTAAAAAAATTGCTTTCTTTGCTTACCATGGTAATTCTATTCATAATTTATTTAAACAAACAAACAAACAAAAACCCCACACACTCTATCGTTTTTGAAGTCGTGGTCGTGAGATGGATAAGTTCAAACTTTGTGCTAAAGATCCTCAGGGGTGACCCGAGACGAACTGGCGCCCCAGGCGTAATGTGCGATCAGTGCCCCCGCATCCAAAGTCCTCAACAGTGGTGCATCATCATTGGGCGCCCTGTTTAACGCGGCACCCTAGGCGACTGCCGAGTCTGCCTTTATGCACAGGCCGCCCCTGCAGATCCTTTAATACCTCCATACTGTGGTTGTCATGCAAAATTTAAGTGCATGCAACATTACATCTGGAATGCTTTGAGGTACAATGACATATTGTTTTATGCATTTCTAATTACTGTTGGAGTCCTGTAACAAGCTCTTATGTGTTGTCCTATTTTCATGTTCTGGAATTGTAAAATAAAACCCTTTAAAATACTCACAGAGAACACTCAAAAAATTAAAGCATTAGTTATTATGTATTTAAATACTAATAAGGGACCTACTCTGTGTAATCTTGAAAGCTTGTCTCTTTCACCAACATAAATTCATCCAATAAAAGACATTACCTCACTTACCTTGTCTCTCAGCCAGTCCAGAATATTTAAGCATCCTCCAAAAATGCTGGGCATGGAGGGCTGCAAATGCTGCCAATGCAATGTGTGTCATATCCCTTTGAAGGTGCACTGGAACCACAGTCTTTGGAATAACTTAAAAACCAACAATTAGTCTAGTAGCACCTCAAAACTAACAAAACATGTAGATGAGCTTTCATGGGCATAACCCACTTCTTCGGATGAAATATTCCAGTCATCTGAAGAGGTGGGTTTCACCCACAAAAGCTCATGATACCATCTACATGTTTTGTTAGTCTTTAAGTGTTTGTCAAGACTACGTGCCTCTGCCAACAGAGGCATGTAAATTAGACATACCAACATAGTCAATGAAGCGGGGATTTAAATATCCCCTGCTTCATTAGAATAAAAATGGCTGCTGAGTTGTGTCGGCTCAGTTGTTTGTCGGCAAAAAGCGGCAGTCAAGAAGGGGATCAGGCTTCCGCTGAGGCCTGATCCCCTTCCCCGCTGCTTACTCCTCTCTGCTGTAGAGACAAGTGGGCTGTGACTAGGGTGAAGAGTTTGAGAGGAGCAGATGAAGGTGCTGCAGGTATTGAAACATACAGGCATAAAGGGAAACAAGAAGACTTTTTATAAATACATTAAAAGCAAGAGGAAGACCAAGGACAGGGTAGGCCCACTGCTTAGTGAGGAGGGAGAAGCAGTAACAGGAAACTTGGAAATGGCGGAGATGCTCAATGACTTCTTTGTTTCGGTCTTCACCGAGAAGTCTGGAGGTGTGCCTAACGTAGTGAATACAAGCAGAGAGAGGGTAAGTTTAGAAGATAGGATACACAAAGAACAAGTTAAAAATCACGTAGGAAAGTTAGATGTCAGCAAGTCACCAGGTCCTGATGAAATGCATCCCAGGATACTCAAGGAGCTGATAGAGGAGGTACCTGAGCCTTTAGCTATGATCTTTGAAAAATCATGGAAGACAGGGGAGATTCCAGAAGACTGGAAAAGGGCAAATATTGTGCCCATCTATAAAAAGGGGAATAAGAACAACCCAGGAAACTACAGACCGGTCAGTTTAACGTCTGTCCCAGGGAAGATAATGGAGCAGGTAATTAAGGAAATCATATGCAAACACTTGGAAGGTAATAAAGTGATAGGGAATAGCCAGCATGGGTTTGTGAAGAACAAGTCATGCCAAACTAATCTGATAGCTTTCTTTGATAAGATAACGAGCCTTGTGGATAAGGGAGAAGCGGTGGATGTCATATACCTAGACTTTAGTAAGGCATTTGATACGGTCTCGCATGATAT